CCACTTCTATCCATCTTCATGATGGTATTCATTAGTAGCTCACTTTGAAGATGCTTGCCTCTAGTGAACTTGCTCAATCTAATCTCGAGATGCTCTTTCTCCAACTTAAGCTTCTTGTTCTCTTCCTTGAGTGCATCATTGTTTTTCTCTTCTTTGAGCTTCTTGTTTTCTTCTTTGAGCTTCTCATTCTTAAGAATCAAATCACCATCATGATCAAGAGTTTCTAGCATAATAGTGTTGTGGCTTTTGATCTCTTCAAGATCTTTCTTGAGCTTTTCATTGTCATTCTTGAGCTTGATAAACTCATCATAATCATCGGCCTCAACCACTTGCTTGCCCTTTCTACTAGAACTTTGCTCAATGCTCTCAATGATCAAATCATCACATGATGTAGCTATATCAATCTTAACAACATTGTTAGTAGCATCATGTAGCTCATTGGATAAAAATTCTTGAGCAATGATAAGATTATCATGGTTAATCTTAAGAGTAGTATATTCTTCTTTTAGCTTGTTGTGGCTAGTAATGAGCTCATTGTGTATCCTATCAAGTTTATCATATTTATCTTTGAGCTCTTTCTTAGAAGATTTGAGATCCTTGAGTTTGAATGATATAGCATCATTTACTTCTCTAAGTTCAACACTAGCCTTTTCGGTTATATCATATTTAGCTAAAAGAGAATCATTCTTAGCTTCTAGCTTGTCATTCTTAGCTCTAGTCGTTCTAATGATCCTAGTATATTTATTTAGCAATTTGACAAGTTCATCATATGAAGGTGATTCAAATTCATCATCATCGCTATCACTATCACAATCATCATTGTTAGCATGATCATCACTACTACTATCATCATCATTTGATACCTTTCGTTCACCCTTGGCCATAAGACATAGGTGTGTAGAGGATAATAGCGGTGGTGTAGGTGAAGATAATGAGGAGTCAATCACAGTGGCGGCTACCTTCGCATTATAACTATCATCATCGGATGAGCAACTTGATGAATCAATGTCCGTGAGCCAATCACCGACGATGTATGCCTTTCCACTTTTCTTCTTCTTGTGGAAGTCCTTTTTCTTACCATCTTTCTTCTTGTATGGCTTGTTTCTCTTCTTCTCATCTTCTTCTTCATTGCTTGAGTCATCTTTCTTGCCCTTGTACTTGTTCTTGTACTTGTCTTTCTTGGGCTTTGTGCATTGATGTGCTAGATGACCAAGCTCTCCATAATTGTAGCAATCCATCTCCGAGATTGGTTTTCTTCTAGAGCTTGTGAAGAACTTCTTCTTGCCGTCGAACTTGATGTCAATATTGTTGAGCTTCTTTAGCATCTTGGCGATTCTTTTCACCATGAGAGCAAGGATTGCATCATTAACTTCATCATCACTTGAGCTCTCATACTCAAGCCTTGCTTTGCCCTTCTCTTGACTAGCTTTGAATGCTAAGTCCTTGTCTTTCTTCTTAGTAGAGGGTGAGCCATCTTGAGGTGTGATGTGCATGTACATCTCATGAGCATTGATCTTTCCCAAGATTTGTGTCAGTGTAGCGGTGGAAAGATCACCTTGATGAAGCACGGTCACAATATGCCCATATTTGTCAATGGGGAGGACACTCAAAATATTTCTTACAACATCGGATGGTTGCATTTGAGTGAGTCTAAGCCCATTGACTTCCTCTACAAGAACATTCAAACGTGAGTACATCTCATTAGCACATTCTTTAGGAAGCATCTCAAAAGAGTTAAGCTTTTTCATGACAAGATGAGAGCGTTCCTCACTCTCACTCTTTGTTCCCTCATGGAGCGCACAAATGTTCGACCATAGTGCATGGACGTCCTTGTGGTTCCTCACCTGGTTGAACACATCTTTACAAAGACCTCTAAAGATGGTGTTTCGAGCCATTGCATTTCATTTTTCGTAATTCACCTCATCACCTTGTAGGTGTGTAGCATCCCGAGGTTTTGGGAAGCCTTGTGAGGCGGCTCTAAGTATTCCAACATCTAGAGCTTCTAGATACGCCTTCATGTGGATTTTTCAATAAGGAAAATCATCCCCCTCAAAGATAGGAGGAGGTCCATCCCCGTGAAACATCTTTCTCTAGACGGTTAAGTCTAATTCGTGAGCACAAGGCTCTGATATCAATTGAAAGGATAAAGATGCCCAAGAAGGGGGGGTTGAATTGGGCTAATTCTAAATTTCTTTGCAATAATTAAACCCTACGGTTAGCCCAATTAACCCCTTGTGCCTAGAAAGTGTTTCTATTGATCTAACACACAAAAGTTTAGCAACCTATATTTCAATCCTACTCTAGCATGGCAATTCTATGAATGTAAATGACAAGAATTGAATTGCTCAAAGTAAATGCTCAAAGTAAAGAGAGGAGGAACGCGATGATGTTTTGCCGAGGTATCGGAGAGTTGCCACTCCCCAATAGTCCTCGTTGGAGCACCCGCGCAAGGGTGTAGCTCTCGCTTGATCCGTGCAAGGATCAAGTGCTCTCTACGGGTTGATTCTTTGACACTCCGTCGCGGTGAATCACCCACAACCGCTCACAACTTGAGTTGGGTCATCCACAAGCACCGCCGGATGATCACCAAGCTTCCAATCACCACCAAGTCATCTAGGTGATGGCGATCATCAAGAGTAACAAGCACGAACTCTCACTTGACCACAACAAGCCTAATAAGAAGGGTGGATGCACACTTTGCTACTCTTGATCTCACTAATGAGGGTTCTTTTTGGGATTCTCAAATCTCAATCACCTCACTAGGACCTTGCTCTTCTTGGCACTCTCAAAGGTGTTTCTCAGCTGTTGGAATGAGCAAAAGTACCCCCACACACGAATGGAGGAAATATTTATAACACCGACTGAAAAATGAACCGTTATGTGCCTCTGCAGGGTGACCGGACGCTCCGGTCAGTTCACCCCAAACTTTAGTGTTTAAGTGGTGACCGGACACGTCCGGTCGTGATTTTCCCTCTCTGGAACCTTACTGGAGTCGGCCGGACGCTGTCCCTCAGCGTCCGGTCACTCACCTCTTAGCGTCCGGTCGCACCAGACGAAATCACCTCGATCAAATGAACTGACCAGACTCTGCGCCATCATCCGGTCAACCCGGAATCAGCGTCCGATCAGCATTTGACCCTCCATTCACTTCCAACTCTCAATTATACGTGAATGAAGATTGCTCCAATGGATCTAAGGGCTTTTTAGGAGCTACCTAGTGCTAGTTTTAGCAAGTGTGCACCACACCTAACCCACTAGACTCACCTAGGTCAAGCTACCCGTCCATACCCCCCTTAATAGTACGGCCAAAGGAAAAAACAAAGTCCTAAACTACTCTAAGTGTCTCTTCAACTCCAAACGACACTTAGAACTAGTCCATCCTTAACCTTGTCGTCCATCCTTTGAAAACCAAAACGATTTCCATTGTAGGGGCATGACCACCATGATTGCCCAATCGATCTCCATTACCATGACCTAACTTAATTGCCTCTGCAAAACACACGTTAGTCATAGTAATCACGTATTGTCATTAATCACTGAAACCCAACTAGGGGCCTAGATGCTTTCAAGAACGACGCGGTGTGGTGTGGCTGTGGCACCCAAGTGCCACGAGCGAGGAGGCAGACATATGGCGGTCTTGTGCGGAAAGAAGCGGCGTCACGCCTAAAGTCGCAAGCGACAACAAAGAACAACCCCACACTACCGAGGTAAGGCGGCGGGGCAGGGGCAGCCAAGGCTAATAGCTAAGCAGAAGGTAGCAGCTGAAAGCTCAGCGACACCAAGGCTCTCATGACGGTGACCGCGCCCACGTCGAGCAAGCAAAACAAGTGTCGTGGTGCACAAATTTTAAAGCGCCCAAAGACCGCACCAAGACGCCTTCTCCTTCACCTTCACCATGACAAGAGTGTCGGCCACCACCGCAAGAACTGGAGCACTAGACATGGAGGCGAGCTCATTACAGGTGATGCCCACCAAGTGTTTGATAGAATGTGCTATATGGGGTGAAGTTACCAGGAAGAAGATAAGGTGATTCTATGCAAGCCAAGTCAGGGAACCAAACACACCCATTCCGATCCAGACTTAGATAGTCTATGTAACCAAACAAGTGCATGTTGGCTTCTTTGGGACTAGGACAAGCCTAGCCAGCTTCCATAGAGATAGGGAACCAAACATGCCCTACAAGATTAGCGGCGGCCTAGCGTAGGTGTTCAAGGAGTCGTGACAATGATCCATCGTATGCCTCGTTTGTTTGAGTTGTAGTTTTAAATTTTTTACTTAAAGACTGATTTTTTTGGCTTTTGGTTTATGTTTGTTGGTGTTGTCGTATTGATTTTTAAATAAATTTTTAGCTTCAGTATTACACCAAAAGGCGAAAATTTGTTTTCAGCGTGTTTTTCAAACTTTTAGTTCATTTCATCGAAAACCAGTTTTAAAAAAAGCTAACTCAACAACTTGGTTGTTTGTTTCATCTTCTGACTTTTGGTCGGTAGAAACCAGATAAAAGCTCAAACAAAGCAGAGCCATAGTATGGTAATTCTGGGACTCAGATGAGCGAGAGCCACCAAAATGGTGACCGAAAGTGCAAGGTGAGGCGATGGAGTTACAGAAGACTCATAGAAGAGAGCAGAAATGCAAGAAGGTCTGTGTGTAAAAATACAAATAAATCTAAAGATTAAATTTATTTACGGATCTGCGAACAACTCTCCTGAATTTTTTTTAAGATCTGTCCTGACTTTTTTTTTTGTTATGGATCTCTCCTGACATTTGACGGCAAAAGAACAAGGTATGTATCCTTGGATTCCAGTCCAAAAGTATGGGCCTCGATTATTTTTGCCAATCAGGCCCATTTGGTTCTCGTGGGCTTTTATTAGGCAATATAGGCCTACCTGCTCCCGGAAAACTTAACAGTCCGTATATTCCGCTCATAATTCCTCACCTGCCTCTGAGAGAGAGAGAGCCGACGACACGCGAAGGGTGAACCGAGATTAGCGGCGGCGGCGATGGCACTCCCGGCGTCGAGCTCCGGCCTCTTCCGCTTCGTCTCCCCGCGCAGCCGACCTCAGTCCACCGACATCGTGGCCGCCGCCTCCTGGGGAGTATTCGCCGGCACCGCCGCCCTCTACCTCGTCCAGGTCAGGATCCATCGGCCTGCTCGTATCTCTTATCCGCCGTTAGCTCTTCCGGTGTATAGACCGTGGCTCGCTCGGGTAGAAGGCTCGTAGGCCTAGCCCTTCCTTGATCTGTGGAATTGTTTGCTGCATCGGTGTTAGGGTTTGGTTGTTGCAGATCGGATCCGTGATGCTCGTGTGGTGTGATCGTCGTGGTTCGTCTGGATCTGCGGATGTTAGATCGGTCTTAGGGATCCGTACCCCGGTTCGCTCTATTGGGGTTTGACTTGTGATATGCTTGTTGCTTAGTCAAACTTGCCCTCTGGATCGAATGAATCTAATGAATATGGGTGTAGAAGAGGATGAACGACCCTCATTTTCGTGATGGCCTAGGCTATAAATTTATCTATTGGAATTGCTGTGTCAAATGTGTCTCAGGAATCAGAAAATCGTTGCAATAAATAAGGTATGGCAAATGTTGAAGTAGACATAAATTCGATACCAGGTCATTATCACGCAGACCTGTATTTGACAAGGATATAGTAGACTGTAGTCTAGCAAAATACACAAATTTCTGTTACCACTTGGCAGAAATTTAACATAATTCTGATTAATATTCCTGCCACTAGAAATCTGTAACACATCGATATTGTAATATAAATTCTTAGTTGACCTATGTGGTCATGTGGTGGCATCATTTTGCTTTCACCTGGTTCTTGATTTGCATCACCTGGTTCTTTTTATAGCCATGTTAAATCTTGTGCCTATATGCTCATGTTTGAGGAACTTATCGAGGGGCTATTTACCTGTGTATTATATGTGGAGAATATTTACCTGTGTATTATATGTGGAGAAATAAGAATATGTGTTCTTAATGAAAACAAGTGTACTGTAGGTCTCACCAACAGGTTACCTGTATTCCTGATAATGCATGTCTTACGGTAGGTCATTTGAGTTTGTACTGACCATGGAGCTGAAACAATAGCAATGTTGCTGAATTGTGGTGTTGTTTCCTTTGGCACCTTAAGGTTATTTCCTCCTTTTAGCGACGTAATAACTCTATTCGTCTCACCCTATTGGGTTGAGACATGTGCTGAGGCCTGAAACTTATGTAAACCATTTGAGGTTTACTCTATTTCATCCATTCTTTTGAATCACCTGATTCTTTGTTACCAGAGGATGTTGATGTCCTTGTGCCTGTTTTGTTGTGTTTTGTTAAAGGTCTTAGTTTCTTTAATCGATTCTGGTCTTTTCCTGTTTTGCTGTGTACCCTACTGGTTTAGTGCCTCTTTCACCTGAGATTCTGAAATTTTTTTTGGACTTCTTTTGCAGCCATTTGACTGGATTAAGAAAACTTTCTTTGAGAAACCTGAACCAGAGGCATGAGTCTCCAGGCATAAAAGGCTGCAAGTCTGCAACTGCAACTTTGATACACCACTTTTGTCCGGGATGATTCCTGATTGAAGAGAACTTGGATAACTCAGCAAATAATGAGACCCCCTCATGTTTCCTTGTTTGTTTTTATTCAGATGTAGGCATTCCTCTTGCATGTAATCCTCATGAGGGGAGTGATCATTTGACTTGTTTTTCATCACACAGAAACTGCTTGGTTCAACTGTGTTATATGATCTTGATGGCGTTTCTAAAATATTGGTCCAAGATGCATGTGTTTAAAACCTGTGCCTAATTATTGTATTTTGTGCAGTCACTGTGTCCGTATAAATTGATCCACCAATATATCTAGCTGATTAAAATTGACCATGATGTCATGTTCCAATGTTCCCATCACCGTCTTCCTAAGATCTTCATTATCGACGTAAAACAATTCCCTTACATTTGGGCTGTCTGTAGTTTGATCCTTGTGAACTTTTGCTATTTATGACTATGAGTATGTATATTCAGCATGCTAAAGGATGTTTGTGGAGTTTTATAGGAAAACAATGGTTGTTGTAGTTAAAGTATTTTTTTTCTTTTTTTATTTACAAAACAAATTTTGGTAGAAACCCTTAGTCAGAGTTGCGATCGCAAGACAAGATTGTATACCTCCATGAGGACTCTTAACGCTGAGAGGTAATGATATTATCAGAGCTTATAAATCCAGTTAATGCAACATGGGACGGGGATTTGGTGAAGTCAGATTTTTTGGGCAGTTGATGCAGCTAGGATCTTACAAATTCCTATCACTAGCGGAAGGGAGGATTTCGTGCCTTGGCAATATAACAGGAACGGACTATTCTCAGTCCGATCAGCATATCACTGCCAATGGGAGGATGTATATGGGTGGAGACACTATGTTATGCAAGCTAGCGGTGTAGGAAGACGTCAAGTGTGGAAGAAGTTGTGGAAGTTGCAGGTTCCGGGGAAGATTAAGATCTTCGGATGGAGAGCTCTCCACGGATTGATTCCAGGCAATTCTTGCAAACCGACATATAGGAAACACGGGAGGGGCTGCCCTATATGTTTGAATGGAGCGGAGGACGTTAAGCATATTCTCTTTGTGTGCGATAGAGCGAAGGAAGTGTGGAGGGCGTTCGGCATCTGGGAGTCGATCGCTCGGCTCCTAGTTGTGGACTGGTCTGGTTTGGTAGTCCTGGAGGAGGAATCCGAAAGGGTGAACAAAATCGATCGATGGACGTTGGTCTTACGGAACTCATATTGACCAGGGGCTGGTACATCTGGTGGGAGCGCCGACGACATGCCCACAGTGAAAATATTCAGAGACTGCTGCTCTAACTAGAAACTATAAATTGTCTATGAAGAAGGAAGGCAACGGGTGGCGAAAGCCTCCAGAAGGAATGATCATGGTAAATGTTGATGCATCATTTGATGATGATGTGGGGTGTGGAAGCACAGGAGTTGTAATTAGAGATCACTCAGGTGGGGTGATTGCTGTTGCGCATAGCTTCGTTACTTGTAAGGAATAGAACACTAGAGACTGATAAAGAAAGTTTTGCGTTACTTGCAAGGCACAAAAGGTCTTATGCTAACGTACAGAAGATCTGATTGCCTACCCATAGAGGGGTATTCAGATTCAGATTATGCGGGAGATGATAGAAAGTCCACGTCAGGATATATATTTACTCTCGCAGAAGGAGCTATATCGTGAAAAAGCTCCAAGCAAACCGTCACTACATCGTCTACAATGTATGCCGAGTTTATAGCGTATTATGAGGCCACAGGGCAGGTAAATTGGCTGAAGAAATTTATGTCCGGGTTGAAAGTGGTAGACGATATATATAAGCCACTCAAGTTATACTGCGATAATAATCCAGCAGTATGTTATGCTCACAATAATAAATCAAGTGGTGTTGCCAAACACATTAACATAAAGTATTATGTTGTGAAAGATAAAGTCCGGGATCATATAATTAGTCTTGAGCACATAAGTACAGAAAAGATGCTTGCGGATCCGCTTACAAAAGGCTTATCACCCAACGTGTTCATAGAACATTTAGCCGGCATGGGTTTAAGCGAAAGCATATAATTCCTAAACAATAAGGGATTAGTTGAGAATCTGTTTCAAAATAGAGAGGGCATTATAGTTGTTAATCTAATGGCACTGACCGTGACGATGAGGCATGCTCCATGCACTGATCTGTGATGGAATGGGAAAAAGATAAAGTAAGTTAAGTTTAAGTAATAAGATGAGATCAAGGGAGAGATTGTTAGTGTTGATCTCTCTAGCTCGGCCCAACGACCGAGTTGGGCCTTAACCTCGCGCCTTGATCGGGGGCGTTCAAATCTACATGGTTGGTGGGCTCCCGTCGCACTGCGCTGTAAAGAGAGGTGGGGGCCAGCGGCTCTCAGTACGAGCTATAAAGAGGTGAGGGGCACAACCAGCGACGGGAAGTTCCACTGCATTCTTCACTGCTGCCTCTACGTCACCACTGCACTGCGACTGACCTCAACACCGTCACCGTGATACCGTCGAACCGGACCGCATCACCTTCGTCATGACTACGTCGAGCTTTTTCTCCAAGCCCGCGGATGGTCGGTGATATCTCACCTCCCTTCCTCTCTCTCTAGATTATATTCTAGAAAGTTTTTATCTCGTATGTAAAGTTGTACCCACTATATCTATATCTAGTTGATCCCCTCTGTCTTTCAGAATGTACTCGAATTTACGGTGGTATACATGTGAGGCGCGCTGTGATCCGTGTGTGCCTGAGTCACATACCGGGAGCTGAGTTAGGAAGGGAATGCCAAAAGGGAATGCGAAAATTTTTTGCCACTTTATTAGTAGGCATAGTTATATATATAAATTTAGATATAGATAAACCTCCGCCGCGTCTTGGTTGACAGAAATTCCATGGCCCGTATAAGTGCACTCTTTTTAGAATGGAGTTGTAGATAAAACGGCCGAAGCTATAGCACGAGCACAAAGAGGGATCGATGCTGACGGTTGTGGACGTAAGGAACTATCGACTTGACCCCGAGGATCTCCATTCCCCAAGCTGCTGCCGCGGAACGTAAAGGCGGCCCGGTCCCCGAAACCCCACGCAAAGCAAGCTGGCGCACGACACGAGACCTCCTCGCTCGCTCGCCAGTGGCCACCGCCACCGTAACCGTCCCGCGGTGTGCTGCAGAGACAGAGTGCAGCAGCTGCTGCCTTGGAACTTGGAAGCGTTCCAAGAAACCCCTCCTAGTGAGAGCCTCCCACCGCGCAGCGCCACGTCCCCCGGGCACGGCCGCACGGGCCGCAGGTCCCTTGCCCATGGTCGTTGCGCCCGCGCCCGTCCGCAAAAGCCTCGCCTCGCCTTTTCTTGTCCTGAAGCCACCCAAGCCGCACGGAAAGGGTGCCTGCCTGCCTGCCCCTCGCTCGCTCTCGGCTCCCAGAACCCATCCCATTTCCACTTCTCCTTGGTATAGTAGGTCCATCGGTTGATCGATCGGCCGGAACGAACCAACAAGGTTCGGATCCTGTCGTGTGTCCATGGGGACGACGGCGACGGCGAGGCGGCGGCGGCTGCTGCTCCTGGCGCTGGCGCTGGCGCTCGCGGCGCACCGGGCGGCGGCGCGGTTCGTGGTGGAGAAGAACAGCCTGCGGGTCACGTCACCGGCCGCGCTCCGGGGCGTCTACGAGTGCGCCATCGGCAACTTCGGCATGCCGCAGTACGGCGGCACCATGCACGGCGTCGTCGTCTACCCCAAGGCCGACGCCAAGGCCTGCAGGCCCTTCGACGACTCCGGCCTCTCCTTCAAGCCCAAGCCCGGCGGCCTGCCCGTCTTCCTGCTCGTCGATCGCGGAGGTACGGTGATCCGGCCATCCATCACCCTTACATTTACCTTTAATTTCTTTCTTCCGTTTTATTTCTTTGATTTGATTGAATAATCTACCATGAGGAGATTAGATTAACTAAACATAGAATTCTCTGTGCACATGCCACTGGAGAAATGTCCACCGGTAATTTATTTGGTTTTGTTATTAATTACGTGTGCTTTCGCGTCTCATTTGTCCTCTCGAGCTACTAGCAACATGCATATTTGTACCATGAGATCAATACTTTAAGATATACTGCAGTGCACGTGTTAATTTCGAATGATCTGGCTCGAACTTGGAAGTCTTTGTCCAGTGGGTTCAGCCTGAACTCGTGTTCTTGGGGGCACACAGCTTCGTGGTCCGAAGGTTAACGCAAGTCTTTGTCAGAGAGGCTTAGGCACAAAAAGCTTTTTTCAAAAGTTTTTCACATTCTTTTTATTTGCAGAAACAGTACGTGGTTTTTTAATATTTACTTTCCTGTGTCAGTTGGTACTATCTGCGTGTAATTCACAATGGAATCCGCTCCCACCCAGGTAGCACTGCACTTGTTTCTTTGAATTGTCTTACATGGCTGACACTGACAGTGCAAGGTTTCGTTAATTTTTTTTTCTTGGACAGCTAGTATGTTTGGAGAAAGATTCAGACCTAGTTTGAGGCTTTGCTTGTCCCAGTTGTTTAGTTCTATATCATTCCATAAAGATTCTTCTCTTTCTTGTGATAAGAATAGATCGAACTGTGTCATCAAAATTTACAACTGATACCTGAGTCATATTCATTTCCTTTAATTTTTTCTTCTAAGATTAATTGAAATTTTATTTTTTGGAGCGTTTTTCGAAATTGAAATTGTAGAGTCGCTTGTGGTGTGCAGACTGCTACTTCACAACCAAGGGATGGAATGCACAAAATGCTGGAGCTGCAGGAGTTCTTGTTGCCGACGACAAAGTCGAGCCTTTGATCACAATGGATTCTCCAGAATCCAGTGGCACAGAGCACATAGAGAACATCACAATTCCTTCGGCACTTGTGACCAAGAGATTTGGAGATGACTTCAGGAAAGCACTGCAAAATGGAGAGATGGTGAATGTTCTTCTGGACTGGAGGGAATCTCTGCCCCATCCTGATGAGCGTGTGGAGTATGAGTTCTGGACAAACAGCAATGATGAATGCGGCGCTAAGTGTGACGTGCAAATGAACTTCGTGAGGAGTTTCAGAGGAATAGCGCAGGCCCTTGAGAAAAGGGGTTACACCCAGTTTACCCCTCACTATATCACATGGTATTGTCCAGAAGCCTTTATCCTGAGCAAACAGTGCAAGTCACAATGTATCAATCATGGGAGATATTGCGCACCAGACCCAGAGCAGGATTTCAGCATTGGATATGACGGCAAAGATGTTGTGGTTCAGAACCTGATTCAAATTTGCGTGTTCAGAGTTGCCAATGAAACTCGCAGGCCGTGGATGTGGTGGGATTATGTGCACGACTTTGCTGTTAGGTGCCCAATGAAGGAGAAGAAATACACACGTGAATGTGCACATGGTGTTATCAATTCACTTGGTGGGGTCTTGTAAACTTTATCCACGTGACTTGATTATATACGAAAAAAATGAAGATATCTTTGCCGTAAATTTATTCATCTGTTGTTTCTATAGGATTGGACATTGAGAAAATCAACAAGTGCGTTGGAGATCCTGACGCTGATAAAGAAAATCCAGTCCTCAAAGCAGAACAGGATGCTCAAGTAAGATAAACCATTAGATTGTCAGGGGTTCCTTCCATATATTTTCAGTTTGTTCTTTGGCTGGGTGATCTTTATGCTTTCGATCCTTTAGATTGGGCATGGTTCTCGTGGCGATGTAACTATACTGCCTACTCTTGTCGTCAATAACAGACAATACAGAGGTATGGCCCATATCATCATGTACAGTTAGTCTTGTATGCCTCAACACCGTTTATGCCATCATTTTATTTTTCCCTTTAGGTAAACTGGAAAAAAGATCTGTGCTAAAAGCAGTATGCTCGGGATTTGAGGAGACAACTGAACCTGATGTCTGTTTGCGCGAAGGTTTGTGAGATTTCCCCTTTTTGTTAAAGAACTGTACCTGGACTTCTTCTGAAGCTGCATTCCTTTTCTGTGGGGTGGCTTCTCTATTTTGCAGATATTGAGACAAATGAATGTTTGGAGAATAATGGAGGTTGCTGGTTAGACAAGGCTACCAATGTTTCTGCGTGCAAGGTACAATTTTACATTTTTGTGGGGTTTGTGGGGGTGGGGGTTCATCATTGTTCACGACTGAGTACACATTTATAATTTGTTTAGATTTATATTGTAGGATACCTTCCGTGGTCGTGTTTGTGAGTGCCCTATTGTCAATGGTGTAAAGTTTATAGGCGATGGGTATAGCCACTGTGAAGGTAATACTTTCACATTTACCATCTTTTCTCATAAGGTCTAAGTTTGAACCTAGTTTTTCCAATCATGCTACTATACTAATTGGCATGCCTTTGGCAGCTTCTGGTCTTGGTAGGTGCCAGATCAACAATGGGGGCTGCTGGAATGAGACTAGGAACGGGAAGACTGTCTCTGCCTGCTCAGTAAGATAACCTCTTTCAGATATCTTCTAGTTTTCAGTTTTGCTTGTGGCTGCAGTTTGGAGCAAAAAACTAATTCTGGAACTCTACAGAATCAAGAAGCTAAAGGCTGCAAATGCCCATCAGGTTTCAAGGGTGATGGAGTGAACAGTTGTGAAGGTACTAGTGTTATTGGGGAGGAAAAGTTTGCTCTACAGCATTGTGGGCAATGTTCACGTTGAGTTTCTGACATAATGTGCTCATTTGCAACTACAGCTTAGCATAATTGTGCGAAATATGCCCATCAGCTTATCATTGTGGGAAATATGTTTCACGTTGAGTATATTGCAAGACTAGGGCCTTTTCTTTTATTTTTAAGAAAAGAATAATACCTTTGCACCTGGCTAGACTGGTAGTTGTGCTTGCGCCAATGATATTCGATATAGTAAATTAGAAAATCCTCCAATAGAGCTATCACTGTCAATTTATCCAACACAATGATGGCTCCGAGCTGGCAACAACTTCAGCCTCCTGATTCCTTTCATGCAACCCCTTTCTGCTTGCCATTTGCAGATGTCGATGAATGCAAAGAGAAACTTTTCTGCCAGTGCAAGGATTGCGCTTGTGAGAACACATGGGGAAGCTACGAGTGCAGCTGTGGTGGCAGCAATTTGCTGTACATCAGAGAGCATGATACCTGTATCAGTGAGTCATCTAACCTGACACCTCTGTCATCAGGACTCCTCACCTCAGTCTTCTCAAATGGAGAGGCAAACTATTTACAGCAGAAGTAGTAATGTGACCCTTAATGCTGCAGGCAAACAGTCTAATTCGTCCCTGGGCTGGGGCTTCCTATGGGTGATTTTCTTCGGCCTTGCCTTGGCTGGAGCAGGAGCATACGCCGTGTACAAATACAGGCTACGGGTAAAACAATGCACCCACCCACCCTTCATTTTACAGTTTACTCCACCTGCATTTTTTTTTGGTTTATTTGGTAGAGATTACGCATTGAGCTTAAGAAGAGATGACTCATTGTTCCTGTCGTACGTACTATCCCCAGAGCTACATGGACTCAGAGATCCGTGCGATCATGGCTCAGTACATGCCCCTGGAGAGCCAAGAGATGCCGAACCAACATCGCTCTGTCGTCCCCGTCGACCATGCAGACATCTGAAACGGCAAGGCTTACATGGATCGAGCATAAAGAGCTAGTAGCATTGCATCCCATCACATTGGTGGCAGTCATCTAGGTCGACAGAGAAGTCGGCTGCCTCGAGCTTCCCTTCGTGTGCAGAATTGGATGCTGATTCTCCATATGGAGCCTATAATTCTGAAGGACATAGTATTGGTAGACTGTTTCATCACACCCTGTTTGTTTGTTTTTCATTTTTCTTTCTGAAAGTCACATAGAAGATTAGGATCTCTCACCGCAGTTTAGAGTCTGTTGATTTCTCTCTAGTTGCTTTTAGAGCCTGCGGTCGTGCTGCGTAACACAGTAATTAATCGTTGAGCGCTGTGTAAATATTGTTGTTGAGACTGAACACTGAAGTGTGTGTGTGTTGCTGTGCTGAATAAAAGGAGCGCAGAAGGAGCATGAGCCTGCTACCATTCCAAACGTTCTCTTGCATGAATACCCTTGAATAGGCAAGGTGTCAGGTCAGCAAGGCGGGGTGGCAAATGTTGCCTGAAATGAGATGCGGGAAGGGTGATAATGGTCGTGATTGGAGGAGCCGCCCTGTCCCTGCCCATGCGCTGGACTGGATCAGCGGCAGCGGCAGCGGCAGCGCCAGTGCTGAACCGAAGCGGCAGGCAGTGGTGGGACTTGGCTTGGGTTGGGAGTGGGCACACAGCGAGCAGCAAAGGCAAAGCATGCCGCAGGCGCAGCACCTGATGCGGTGGGGGATTGGATTGGCCGTGAGCATGAATACACTTTTTTATGGAAAAACAACCGTTCTTATCAGAAAATCAACTTTCATTTTTTTTAAAAAAAAGCAAGAGCAAAAACTACTTTATAGTCTTATAGATGCCAAGGCTATTAGACGACAATCATTCTTGTCTGGCAAAGATTTTTATTGTGGTTGTTTGCATCGTAGGCATGACCATTTTAAAATTTGGTACGTCGCTCTCTCCTCGAAGTAGGTATACCAGAAACGCACCCAATAAATAGCCGTGAAAATAACGGAGAGCAGCAGAGTGCCTTTAATTTGTGTCTAATTGCATCGTCTGTTGGTCACGCCACGGCAAGCGGCCGGCAAGCTTTTCCGCCGTCCGCCGACGCGCCTGCCGCCATCTCCCACCACCACTGACCCGACGGGCGTCCAACGCGTCCTTCTCAGGGACAAGACAAGATGATCGATGCGTGCGGGGACGGACGGGGGTGCCGGTTGTGTGGGATTGGGGCATTGGGCTTAACCAACGCCGAGCTACTAGCTGTGGCTGTACTGGATTACGTACTCCGGCCTGTTGTAGAGAGTATACACTACATAGTGACTGCACGTACGTATAGCAGATTAAGGGGTACGTCGAGGCACTACTGCAGATAGCTTTTTCGAGGCAGTCAAAAACAGTTAACCGAGACGGGCATTCCACCCGCCTCCGATAAAAGGCCTCGGTTAATCAAAGAACTACGGAGATGGTTGGAATGCTCGCCTCGGTTAATGAATTAAAAAACAAAAAAAGACCAGCAAACCCATCGACGAGCTCGTCGAGCCCATCACGCGTGCGCCGCCACAGCTTGCAGGAATCCTATGTCTGTAACACCTTCGATGTTACACCGTAAATCATTTACTAAAACATGTCATGAGCATCATGTTTATGTGTTAATGCATGTAATAGAGTGTGTAGATCAATTTCCGTAACTCAAAACGATCTACGAAAATACGAAATGAAAGTTAATTCTAGAGTCATGTTATATCACTTAGGGTTTAAAACCAATTTTTATTAAGCAAAAATGCTATAGAACATATATGTGATACTTGAATAAAGTTTGAAGTACAAACTTTATAGATGACAATGAAATACCTGCGGTCGAAAAATTATATTACTAGCTAAGATTTCCAATAGCTTAGAAATGTAATTTGAAATAGAGTTCAACTCAGAACTTAGAAAATTTCTTGAACTTTGGAGAGGGTAGATATTGCTTTGTTCATCAGTTTTTGTAGAAAAAATTAGTTAAGAAGCAGAGTAGTGTCATGGTCTGTTTTAGTAGCCTAATATACCTTCTAAAGTATGGTAAAGATGGTTTAGGTGTTTGGCCAACCAATTGATTGTTTTGGACGCTTTTAAAAAGTGCGCATGGCACGTCCTTGGTCGGTTTCCTCTCGGAGGCGCGGTCATCGAGCCCATGAGCCACGACGTCGACCGTCGTCCGACCGACACAGGCGTTCTGGTGGCCTTTCGGTGGCCATTGTATTAACAACCCCGCGGCCTTATTTGCCACCACCTCACATGTCATGTTGAAAGGATCAAGATGCCCAAGAAGGGGGGTGAATTGGGCTAATTCTAAGTTTTCTTGCAATAATCAAATCCTACGGATAGCCCAATTAACCCCTTGTGCCTAAAAAGTGTTTATATCAAACTAATGCACAACAACCTCGCAATCAACGTTCCAAACTTACTCTAGCAAGCAATTCTATGGATGTAAGACAAGTATTGAAATGCTCAAAGTAAATACTCAAAGTAAGTGCTCAACGTAAATAGAGAGAGAAAGGAACGCGGCGATGTTTTGCCGAGGTATCGAGAGTCGCCACTCCCCACTAGTCCTCGTTGGAGCACCAGCAAGGGTGTAGCTCCCCCTTGATCGCGCAAGGATCAAGTGATCTCTATGGGTTGATTCTTGACACTCCGTCCGCGCGAATCACCAAAACCGCTCACAACTTGAGTTGGGTCACCCACAAGCTCAGTAGGGTGAACACCAAACTCCCAATCACCACCAAGCCCGTCTAGGTGACGGCGATCACCAAAGTAACAAGCACGAACTCTCACTTGACCACATGAAGCCTAATGAGAAGATGGATGCACACTTTGCTACTCTTGATTTGCTAGTGAGGCTACTCTCTTGGATTCTCAAATCACAAACACCTCACTAGGACCTTGCTCTTCTTGGCACTCACAAACGTGTTTCTCAATTTGTTGGAATGAGCAAAAGATACTCCACTCACTCACGAGTGGACCTTCTATTTATAAGCCACTGAAAAAGCGAACCGTTATGAGCTTCAGGGACGACCGGACGCTCCGATCGTGATGACCGGACGCTCCGGTCAGTTCAACCCATGAACCAGTATTAAAGAGACGACCGGACGGACTGGCGGGTCCGGTTCTGACCGACCGGACGTGTCCGGTCGCAGATAAAACCCTTATGGAACCTTCTTGGAGTCGGCCGGACGCTGAACCCTCGAGTCCGGGTCAAGATCGACTGGACGAGCGTCCGGTCACTCTTTCCCAAGTCTGGACCCTTCTTTGAGTCGCCGGACGCTGAACCTCGGGCGTCCGGTCACATGTTCTTCAAAGCGTCCGGTCACATCGGACTTGATTACCTCGATCAAATGAATCGGCCGGACCGCTGGCCGGCGTCCGGTCGCACCGAGAAACCTTGTCCGGTCAGTGTTTGACCCTTCATTCACTTCCAACTTCCGAATATAAGTGAATGAATTGTGCTCCAAAAGATCTTAGGCATTCATAGGAGCTACCTAGAGCTAGTTCAAACAAGTGTGCACCACACCTAACTCACTAGACTTAACTAGGTCAAGCTACCCGTTCATACCCCCCCCCTTCATAATGCGGCCAAAGGAAAAAACAAAGTCCTAAACTACTCTAAGTGTCTCTCCAACTTCAATTGACACTTAGAACTAGTTATCCTTAACCTTGTCGTCCATCCTTTGAAAACCAAAGCGATTTCCATCGTGAGGGGCATGACAACCTCAATTGCCCAATCGATCTCCATTACCATGACCTAACTTAATTGCCTCTGCAAAACACACGTTAGTCATAGTAATCTTGTATTGATATCAATCACCGAAATCCAACTAGGGGCCTAGATGCTTTCAATCTCCCCCTTTTTGGTGATTGATGACAACACCACCTCGAGTATGTTATGGAGTGAGTTTTTTTTTCTTTTGACGGGCTTGGTTCATATAAGCTTTTGTCAAAAAGAACAAAAGAGTTAGGCAAGCTTATATGACCCAAGCCAACACAATGTACTCAAAGAATATGGATTAAGCATGAGTACACTTTAACAAAGCTCATTTGCTTCAAAGTATAAACGCGGAAGCAAAATCAAATGAGCATCACACAAGTGATATGACATATAGATAAAGCAAAGTAGAAGTCACACATGTCAAATATCATAATCATGTAGATAGCACTATCACATATATATAATAGTATGCATGAAAGTAAACACACGAATGCATAAGTAATAGTGTATCACACAAATAAAACTCCAAATGTATATAATAAGCTAAAAGCTGGATAACTAGCTCCCCTAAAAACTCGCTCCCCTAAGTCTACATACTCAAACCCTCTCCCCTTTGGCGTCAAACACCAAAACCTAGGGAATTGGACGGCGGGCTGCAATGGAGCAGAGTCGGGCGCTGAAGCACGTGGAGCAAGATGGAACAAGGCGCCATCATCATCTCGACCACGAGCTCTGGTGGTGACCCTCTCAAGCGGGAAGTGTCATTTGAAACAGTCTCTGGTCGAGTGAAATTTCAGTCTTTGCCTGTGAATCTGCAAGTATGTCATCGTGAGGATCGACGAGGCTGACAGACGAGGGAGCCTCTGAGTAGTCATGATAGCTGGAGCTGCTTTGAGAGCGGACGGCAAAGCATGCATGTGAGGCGGAGTAGGCATCTTGGGGTCAACTCATGAATGATGCTCCAAGACTCGGAGACCAGCGACTCGAGCACGAATAGTGAGGAAGTCTGCTCTGGTGAGAAACCGTGTGATAAGGAGTGAGCTGGGGCTACACAGGTGAGGCTAACCATTGGGACACTGTCTGACAGGAGGTGAAGGAAACCGAGTGGAGGTGTCCACGACTCTGAAGCCCTTGGGCATCATCGCTGGAGTCGTCGAAGTGGTGGGAGGTTGTGCAAGCTGGGACGAAAGGTTGTGGTGGGGGACCCCAATAGCATTTGTCACTACATCTTGCATGAATCCCATGATTTCTTCTTTGCATAAGCTTCTTTGGTCTGTTGAAGAAGCTGCTGCTGCCGCTGAAACTCGTCCCCGACGAGAAGCTGAAATCTTGAAGTTGGCATTTGTCTCTGCTGCTGTGGTGTCGATCTGCTGCATCCGCTCAAGAATAGCAATGAGCGGGGTGCATGCTGTGGAGCGGTGGGCAGAGCTGGAGCTACACGCCTCTCTGCATCGTGTCTACGTGGAGGCATCTCGAGGTATAGGGTGGTAGTCGTCGTTAGAGCTGCCATCCTTTGTACTCACTCACCTCCCTGCTTTGTGCCTCTAGCTCCTCCTCCTCGATTCTTTGCAATCCCCTCGATTATCTCATCCTGCTGAGGCTGAGACAGACTGCACGTCAGGCGACAGCTAGACGGCCCAGGTGCCCGAGGAGTGGCGTGTCGATCCTCTGTGACAAGTTGTAGGTGGGAACTCAGAGTGGCACTGTATACTCATCCATCATGCCAGGGGCTTATCAAGCACTACTCTGCGGATGAGGAATGTGATCCAGTGAGCATAGGGAAGCTGCACTGCGACCCTTGAATCCCTCACTATAGTATCCTCCATCTCGAAAGAAGGAGGTCCCGGATGTCAAACACATGTCATCATGCATGATGGCATTGAGAAGCCGAGGCAGAAGCGAGTCAGGCCCTCCCTCAGATCCCAACACAGGAAGCGGTGTCCTCCCGATGATGGCCTCTAGTATCCTCATTTGTAGGAGTCAAGTCCTTTGGGGTTCT